CTGTTTAATTTGGTTAAACAATCAATATGAGTGTTTCATTAATTAGCTTTTTATCACAACTAATCACTCCAAAATGCTAAAAAACAGTTTTTTGAAAAAGTAATTTTGCATGTAATCAGCTATCAGATAATAACTCATTTACCAAACACTTTTCTACAGTCAGTTAATACTATCAACTAGTTAAACTCACTAACTCAATCAGCTAACAATTATTTATCAAACACGAAACACCCCATTGTTGGACTTATATGAGAGAAAGAAGATGATGAAATTATAATTAGAAATTAGATGGCCTGTCGTCATCCCAACCGCTCGAGGCTGCACATTCGCTCCATCTCAAATTGAATGATTATATTACATCAATTGAATCGAATGATACGCCTTAGATTTTGTTCAATTCTAGCTTGATGAATATAATATAATCTTGCTCTACAATACTCACAACCTACTTATTCCTCTCTCACGTTTGATGGTGACAATTGACATCAACATTAATCTTGAGTATGTACCACGTACTAACGTAGTAGCTAGATGTTAGCGGAGGTTTGGAGATCAAGTCCAACATCTTACGATTAAAATATGATGCGAAATGTTACGTAAATATCATGAAATACAATCGCATCTTCATTATTACCTATAACTTTTGGTGTAAACGCTTGATTTTGACGGTAGAACATGATACCTCAACAATAACATACATATGACAAGTCCACATGGACATTTTAGTTAATTGGTCACAGGGGTGAGATTTGGGAACAATAACCCGAGATGAAGTCTCACCAACCATAGTGAGGGACTCCTTGTGCGTACTAAGCAAATGTTAGTTTCTGATCTCATATTCTCATGCATGATACATAGACGTCGACACAATTTTGCTTAAGATTACGCCAAAAGTAGTAAAATCATAAGGGAAAATGGTCAAATAGGCCCTCGAATTTTAGCTAAAAAGTCAATTAGTCTCCTCAACTTTTTAAAGGTGCTATTACACTCAGCAACAATTCATTTTGATGCAATGAAGCCCAAAAACCTTGTAAATGACCTGCTATCACAGGTCAGTAGGAATCCTGCCACCCCCAAGTGGAAATTTCAAGCAAAAAAGTGACTGGCGACGGCGAACGGTCGCCAATCACGGAGAATGAAAAGGCGACCATAGTGGTCGCCTTCTCCGACGACCTTCTCAGCCAGAGAATTGAAGGTGACCCAAATCTCGGTTGCCTTCTCCGTGACAGGAGACTGTTCGCCGATCACTTTTTTGCCTGAAATTTTCGTCGGACGGTGACCGGATCCCTAATGACCTGTGATAGTATGTAGGTCATTTATTGATTTTTGGGCTTCATTTCATCAAAATAAATTATTGATGGATGTAATTGCACATTTAAAAAGCTGAGGGGGCTAATTGACTTTTTAATTAAAGTTCGAGGGCCTATTTGATCATTTGCCAAAATCATAATAACTTTATTTTCTAGGACAACTTTATTTATTTGCACTTGTGTAACAACTAATATCATATTTTGATAACAGAATATTGGACTTCATCATTCAATTCTCCGCCTAACACTAACAAATTTGTTCTTTACACACGATTACAGTGATTGTTCTAATATTGTTATTTTTCCATTAAAATTGGAACCTAATTGCAAAAAGAAAAAGAAAAGGTTAAGGTTAGTTGGTGATATCCACACGATCGATCGTCTATCATCATATATCATCATCATCTTATAGCAAAGCATCTGGTAAAATAGTAATAAGAATTCTAGAAAGTGTTAATAATTCAACGCTAAAATTCCATACATGCATTTAAATATTTAATCATGAATTCTATGGTGAGACGTTAGAGTATCCAAAAGTGTATATATATTATATATTTATGAAAAAAGTTCAAATTAGCCATCTAATTCAACTACATGCAAAAGTGAAATTGGGTCATCTAACTTTATAAAGTGCAATTAGATCTCTAAATTATCCAAATTTTTTTTATTACAAAGGAAGGAAACTACCCATACAAACTACGCCTACACTGAGGCTCGAAACCTAAATGTCCCACATAGGGGAGCAATCCAATACCAGTGGACCATAAGCCACTTGGTTAAATTATCTAAATTTAACATGTTCTTCAGGCCATCACTAACATGAGCAAAGTGGAATTTACTCAATGCACACACTCGAGTGTGACTATGAGTTTCCCTCGTCACCCTAAAAAGAAAAAAGAAGCTCGCTTTTATCCACTATTTACCAAATTAAACCTAAGCAATACCACCAATTTAATCACATTATACTTAGTAACCATAACTCCATAAGGTTACTAGTTCGACTCTCGAAAATGTCTACTGGCCTTGCTTTTTGGTTTGAGTCGGTAAGCTATGTGCAAGCTAGACTGGCCGTTTACCTCCTTGTGGTCTTTTAATTTGTCGGCTAGGTTCATAAGATGTGGTTACTCAATGTACAGAGAAGTGATTGTAGGTTTCCAACATCATCTAATAGTTGAAAATAAAGAAAACTAAAAGAGGGGGGGGGGGGGGGGGGGGGGGATGGATGAGGTCATTTTCATCATAAATATTATAGAGTACAATTTTTGAAAGTTTATAATATTTATGAAAATGACCCCATTCCTTAGTCCATAGTTCTCACTTAGAATGTTATATTCTCATATGATCCCCCCTCTCTCTCTCTCTCTCTCTCTCTCTCTCTCTCTCTATATATATATATATATATATATATATATATATATATATATATATATTCATAAATTAATTTGAATATAAAACACTTTACTCTAACGTTTGAAAAGTATATATAATATAATCTCCATTTCTTTTGTAAAGTCCATGTGAAGATTTAGTAGTGCATACTATATACTTGTGCAATCATAATCATAATATATATGCATGGCCCATGTCTTTGAAAAGAATTAAGCTTGTGTTACACACCTCTATATGTAAAGATTATGTACACACACATAGAGAGAGAGAAGGCCGGGGAAGAATATAATGGAATGTGAGTCTGCTAGTCTTACAAATAATAATAGTGAAGTTGTTAAAATCATTAACTTCATATATTTTTGGCCAACCACCACTATGTAACTTAATAATTGCTATGAACAAATCTTGTCCGATCCAGGAATAGTCATGGTTTTTGAGCTGAGGTAGATAGCTAGCTAGCTTAGTAAAATACAAGTTTTGTCACTTTCATATATATACCCTTGCTGAATTGTAGGCACACCTTTTTTAGGTGGGACAACTGGCCTGAAGATTTATGGTTACTTCATTCCCAAAGCCAAGGATCGAACCCTTACCTTTGATTAAGGATGGATGAGTCCCTTCCACTCAACCATATCCTCTAGGTTATTGTTTTTCTTATTCAGGTAGACAGGACTAGATGGGTAGTTTATGTTTATTGAGTAATTAAATTTGGTTAAATATAATTAAATTAGGCAGTGAGATGAGACAAGCATGAGGCAATGGAGCCATGCGTAATTGATCGGTCCTCTCCACTCACCATCTACCGGTCTACCCCTAACCCCTCCCTATACCTAGCTACCTATTATATTCCTATTTTATTACTACTACTCCCTCACTGCTTCCAATTCATTTCAATTCCCACACCTCTCTCTCTCAACCCTCTTTCTCCCTTCTTCCACGGTCCCCCACCGCCGCGGCGTTGCCACCTTGCTTCCTCTTCCTCCTTCATTTTCGTGTAATTTAGAAAGCTAATAAGCCGCAGGTATGCTTCACTAGTCAATGCATTATGCATGCATGCATATTCAACTATTCTTAGCCTATAGTTTATCATTCTCTGATCTTCATTTCTTAGGGTTTTCCTTCTACAAATGATTTAATATAATACGTTGGAATTTAACCTCGCAAAAAGAACTTTAGGGTGCTGAACTAGGCCTTTAATTTTACTAATCTCCACCTAACAATTTCTCTAGTCACATGGTCCCAACCAGTCTTAAATGCTTGATATATACCACTTATTAGATCAAATGTTTACCACTATACCAAAAATTATAGTCAGTAATTTATGTCCAACTTTATTTCGTTATATTGCCACACATTTTTAAGAGCTCAGGTGCTAGACTTGACCCTTTATCGATCTTTGCCCAACAATGCCCCTAGTCATATGGTACTGGACTTGGTCCTTACCGGCTCCCGTCCAACATGCATGTCCGCATAACTAAGCCCAACATTTTGTTCGAAAGGAATTATTGAACGAAGACGGACAAAGGGTAAATTTAACATGAAGTGACTAGTTTTTTTTTTTTTTTTTTTTTTGAATGCTACTGGCTCTATTACAACGCATAACTAAGCCCAACATTTTGTTCGAAAGGAATTATTGAACGAAGACGGACAAAGGGTAAATTTAACATGAAGTGACTAGTTTTTTTTTTTTTTTGAATGCTACTGGCTCTATTACAATGGGAGTATCTGTTCATATACTTTCTCAACCTACTGAAACACAAAGAACCAATAAGGCCTCCACTGAAGCTCAAACTCATAACCTTCCAAATGGAATTTCAACCCGGGTACCATTAGACCACATAGTCTTGGTCATGAAGTGACTAATTAGTTACAATGAAATTAGACAAAGCATATTCCAACATATTTTTATATTAAAATATGGAATTATATTAGGTTAATTTATGATGAATGATTTGAAAGTAAGGTTGCCGGCACGAGACAACATGATTAGCACACAACACTTTTCCTGCCCTTCTTCTCTTCGATCGGACGCAGACACCACTGTTGACTGTACTGCACGGGAAACTAACCCTTCCAGCACCCTCAATTCTCCAACACCAAAGCCTCATCATCATTTGGTCTTCTTTCCTTTTCATCTATCCCTTCTTCTTCTCCTTCATCACCATTAAAATATTCAACTGTCTCTGAAATCAAATGACCATATGATTGTAGGGCTCATAATTCTTTCCATTCTTCACTTTTCAGGTCTCGTTTTCCAGATATGTTAATTATATATATTGTATGAATTTGATGCAGATATATATGTATGCGTATTGAATAAGCTAGCTAGCACTGTTTGTTAGTTACTGCTACACAGTAGAAGCAAGCTAGCCGGCCAGGCAGTACAGTGATGATAATGGCGGATGCAGCTGCAGATGAATCGTGTGCGGTTCCACCCGGATTTCGATTCCATCCGACGGATGAGGAGCTTGTGGGATACTATCTGAGGAAGAAGATTGCATCGCAGAAAATTGATCTTGACGTTATTAGAGATATTGATCTCTACAGGATTGAACCCTGGGATCTTCAGTGTATGTAATTACCTCTCATCTTTTCTTTCATCCTCCCACCATATATATGTTTTTTCTTTTGTTTTGGATGAGGATGAAACCACCTCCACTATACGACGGTGTAGACTGAATAAATCCCATCTTGTGACCATAACTGGTAAAAAATCACAAGAAGTAAATCAGTTTAAGTTGCCCTGACCAGGCCAACTCAAACCAATAAAACTAATAAACTGCTCGCAGTGGGAGTTGAACTTATTGTAATCTTGTGATTACTGAGTTAAACAATTAACCTATTCAACTTTGCTTCACATTGTAGAGTGGTTACTAGGGTTTCTTGAATATAATTATGGGTGTTTTTGATACATGTATACAGATAAATGTCGGATTGGGTATGAAGAGCAAAACGAGTGGTATTTCTTTAGCCACAAGGATAAGAAGTATCCGACGGGGACGAGGACGAACAGGGCGACTATGGCCGGATTCTGGAAGGCCACAGGGAGAGACAAAGCTGTTTATCATAAATCCAAGATTATTATTGGCATGAGGAAAACCCTTGTTTTCTACAAAGGGAGGGCGCCAAATGGCCGCAAAACTGATTGGATCATCCATGAATACCGACTCGAATCTCAAGACAATTCCCCACCACAGGCAAGTTTATGTTCTCCCGCATCAATCTGTAAAATATAACTCCAAACTAGGTAAATCCTGCCCATATTGTGACCCTAGCTAGCAGGACCATAAAGAGGTGATCAGTTTAGCTTGTTCATAACTGACTAGTTCAAATAAAGAAGGTTAATAGATCAAACCATTCCCTCGGGAGTCGAATTTATCAAGCTAACAGTCCAACCAACTTAGTTTGAGTGACAATGGAAACACTGCAAGCAGCTACAATCGAGGATGTGTACTGAGTAAAGACCCTAGCTAGCAATCACAATAAGGTAAACCCTGTCATGTGACTCTAGAGGCCACAATGAGGTAAACCAGTTTGTTGTCTATGCTCAAATCAAGTAGGCCAATAAGTCGCTCATACTGAGCTGAGATTGAGTCAAACTTGTACTCTTGTTATTATCAAGTCAATATTCTGACCAATTCAAGGTGGTGGAGTCTCATCCATTTGGTAATATAATCTTGATTCTTGAACATTTGCAGGAAGAAGGATGGGTGGTGTGTCGTGCATTCAAGAAAAGAATGCCCGGTCAAACAAGGAGCAATAATGCTGAAACCTGGGAATCTTCAAGAAAACCTAGTAACGATACCTCAGTGACACTGGATCCTGTCGATTATTACATCACCAGTAGCCGACAAACAACGCCGACGACCAGTTTCATTTCATCGTCCCATCACAGTTTCTTGCGCAGCAAGCAAGAGCTCTCATCATCATGCAATAATCTCACCTTCTTCCAATCTCATCAAGACGATCAATTTGTACACCTCCCGGAGCTACAGAGCCCCTCCCACCCTCCGCCGCTTCAAAACCCGGCCACCACCTCTCCGTCAGTGCTGCCGGAAAGTTATAAGTTCCATGGAAGTAACAGAGAAGAAGACGACGATGAGCATAATAATAGAGTGAGTGATTGGAGGGCTCTTGATAAGCTGGTTGCTTCCCAGTTGAACCACGACGATCCTGATGATGATCAGAAGAGATTGAAAAATCAGAACGATTCCGATGTGGGGTTGCTGCTATTGCAGAGCGGTGGAATCTGGGAAGATGGGGATGACGACATTAATGGGTTCTTCTCTTCAAACTCCGACTGTAATATTGGTATTTGCATTTTTGATAAATGAGGGCTATGAACTATATATGATGTTGGTATTATATTTTCGATGTTTATAATGAAGCAGATATATGTAATGTAAAGATTTTGATCAAAAAACATATCGTTCATAAAAAATTCTGAAGCAGCTACACATATGTGTAATCCTTTTAAAGTTTGTATGACAATCTTAACTGAAAATTAAAATATTATAAGAAGGTACACCGACCAACTCGAATTAAGAAAGATAATAAAGGTTGTCATAAGAAATCAAATAATTTAAAATGTTATGGCTATCAAATTAAATGTCAGACTAATTGAGTTGAGTTGCACCTCCTAAATAATATATAGTTTAATTTGTGATAGATTAGAGGAAAACTTAGCGATAGGAATGCAAATGTGTTTTATGATAAATGTTATAATGTTGCATGTAAAAATGTCATATTCTAAAAATAAAAAGTGGTATATATATATATATATATATATATATATATATATATATACTTGTTAAATAAAATTATGTGGAAATTAAAATAATGTGGGCCAATGCCTTGTCTAGCATGCGTGTGTATGTTGTTGCCTTCTATGTTAGCAGCAGCATGCTTGTCGATCTGCTGTTTCTGGTCCTCAAAATTCTTAAATTCACATTTTCACACTTTAGTTAAATCCAGTTTGACTAAAGCCCCACTAAAAAAAATCAAGTAGTCAACTAATCAACGTTTAATTTTACATGAATCATAAAATCAATTATTTGAACAATTCAAAATTTATACTTAAATTATTTTTGTTTAAAAAGAACAATTTGACTAGAGGTATATTTTTTATAGTTTCAACCTTTTTTTTCCCTAGCTGGTAATAGGTTTCTCAATCATCAGTCAATAAAGACCACTGAGTCCTCAACATATTAATTAATTCATATATATTCCTACTACTGACAGATTGAACTAAGAAGGTCAATAGGTTGCTCTCAATCATATCGGGAATCGAACTTATAATCTTTCGTATGTTATTTGACTTTTTGATACACAAGTAGTAGTAGTACGTAGAGAATTTGAAAGCATAAAGTAAATTGTATTAGTATATGTTATTATTTATGATTTAATATGTATTTAATTGTGTACATTTTATAGCTTAGAATATTGATCTAGTCTTAGGCCTATTAGTTAGGTCTCTCTCTTTACTGTATTAATTGTAATCTGAATTCAATTAGTAATCTATCGATCATTCCACAATATCTGGTATCAGTTAGCCAGTAAGAATCCTTTCCCCTCATTTTTCGACTTTCTCTCACCCCTCTCCCTCGACGATGTCGCAGAGCTCCTCCGAGAGAACCCTCACCACCACCACCATCTCCTCCCCAAACACCAACCCAAATTCCCTTACTAGTGCACATCATTTTGTTTCACTCAAGCTTACCAACCACAATTATATATTTTGGCGAACACAAATCATCCCCTTCCTACTCGGCCAAGGCTTGCTTGGGTATGTTAATGACGATCACCCCTGCCCATCGCCGGTTCTGGAGCTTCCCGCCGATGACAACTCCGACGATGCTCTCTCCGTGGCAACGAACCCGACGTACACCGCATGGGTGCAGCAGGATGCCTACATCCTGTCGTTGCTGATCTCCTCCATGTCTGAGGAAGTAATGTACCTGGCTATTGGACAAACCACCTCCCGTGGCGTATGGAAAGCGGCCGAGACGGTGCTCGGCTCAGCGATGCAGGTGCGCAGTCTCAATCTGCTCGGGCAGATTCAATCCTTGCGCCAGGGCGACAACACTCCATCGAAGTACTTGGGGCGCGCACAGCTCTTGGTCGAAGACCTTGCTCTCGCCGATCGGAATATGTCACTGGCGGAGCAGAATCTGTATGTTTTCCAGGGTTGCGGCCAGAGTTCCGGGCTATGGCAGCCTCCCTGGCGGTCACTGGTACGCCGATGTCGATCCCTCAGTGGGCAGATTATTTGCAGGCGCAGCAGTTCGTCCATGCGGATGATTTTCCGTCCTATCAGCCGGCGACGACGGGCGGAGTTCCCTCGGCGTTGTACGCCGGTCGTGGCAGACGACAGCATGGCGACGGCGGAAGGCATTCTCGCGGTGGAGGATGCCGTAGAGGCAATCAGCGTGGCGGTCGTGGCCGAGGGGGAGCCCCGCGTTGCCAAATCTGCCGCCGTCCCAGGCACATGTCGCCGTCGCAGGTGAAGGAGCTGTCTCATCGGAGGCCTCGGCGTGGCTGCCGGGTACTGGAGCCTCAACGCACGCAACTCCCGACTCCGGCGTGATCACGCAATCCGAGGAGTATCATGGTGGCGACGTTCTTCGAGTGGGTAATGGCACAGGTTTGGCGATCTCGCGTGTTGGTCATGCAGTAATTCCGTCGGTTAGTAATCTATCGATCATTCCACAATCTCATGTAGTAGAGAATTTGAAAGCATAAAGTAAATTTTACTCCGTGTTGCTACATTTCTTTAGATTAAATGTTATTAAATACGCGTAGTATTTAAATAGTAGGGTTGTGACATTTTAAAAATAAAGTAATAAGTTTAATTTATTTTCAATATTTATAAAAATGCTTCTGTTACCATGGTATCACCACATTTTTATTTATAATTGATATCGGAAAAAATTTCTTAATTTTTGTTTTTATTTTTGTTTAAATGACTATATATGGAAATTAAACTTGCAATTATTAATGTACAATGGATAAATTTCACCTTGTAACCCTAAGCTGCAAAAGACAACAAGAAGGTAACCCCACCTATGTTTCCATAAATGATCGATTCAAACCAATAAGGTTAAAAGGTTACTACCACGGAATTGTATAAAAAAATTAATAATATAACATTTAATGTGTTATTATACTTTTTTTTTGGAAAGCTAAAAATCAAGCATTATTAAACGGGATTCAAAACGACATAAATACAACTGGATGGGACCTCGTCCCAAGTACGAGAGCCAGACTAGGAACCCATTAATTACCTTCGCCAGGGCGTGAGCAAGTTAGTGTGTTGACAAACTATTCTATAAAGGGAAAATTGTCAAATAGGCCCCTGAACTTTATTCGAAAAGTCAATTAGGCCTTTCAACTTTCAAAAATTACAATAAAACCCATAAACATGTTATTTTGAAGCATTGAAGCCCACAAACCGGTCGGTAACCTGTAATTACAGGTTACCTAGGGTTCCGGCGACCCTTCCATATATAATTTTTCGGCCACAATCACCGACGATATGATTAGCGACCACACACATATTTAACACAGATAAAGCAAATGTACAAATGGAAAGCATAATCATAAAGCCAAGAGAAAATAAGATTATAGTATGTAATCTAATGTAAATCTATGCAAAAGTGATGAAAGGAAATAAAGGAAAATCTCCTGAATCTAGTTGTCTAGGTTTCGAACCCCCTTTCAAAAGAAACAAAAATGAACTTTAAATTTGAAACAGGGATATACCTACGGGCATGCACACGCTCGTGTCTAGAGATGGGCAGTCTTATGGGCGTGGCGCAACCCATGTATAGAGGCGGGCAAGCAGTCTCATGCCCGTGGGACTACTTGTCCGATCCGGATTCCTTCCCTACTGCTTTGAGGCGCTCCTAGCCTTCTCTGATGGGTTCCTTAGCTCCAAACTCAACTAGAAATGCTCAAAACTCTTCAATTCCTTATTTGTGAGTGAATGCGCCTAGGAACAATAATCACACAAATAAGCTTCAATCCATACATGTGTTGGGGCATTTCATGCACAAAATGTGTTAAGTAAGGGGGTAAAATTATGGATAATAAAGCACTTATCATCCATAATTCTCCAAGGACAAACACTGCTAGGGTCATTAGCTTCCTCTCATAATGTCGAGCGCCTCTTTCGGCCACTGAACGAAAGGTCTTCCATTATGCACCATCCTAGAACAAGGGGATAACCTCCACACATTCCGAGCGATTGAGCACCACACCAAGGCATGGTCTATCGTCTCGCCCACCTCCTAGCAACATGGGCATCCCGTGTCAACCTCAACTACTCTGGAGCGAAGGTTCAACTTAACCGAGAGAATACACCTCGTCGACCCTCCATAAGAAGATCTTCAACCTTAGCGGAATCTCCAAGTTCCAGGGCATACTCCAATCATTGAAAACACCACAAAATGGACTACAGTTATCCCATGGGGTGCTTGTAGTCATCTTTGACTGAATATTGGCCTCTGGGATATGTTTCTTAGTACCAAACATTCTCTTGCATAGGGTTGATTGGGATCTTCAATATCTGCTCGATTTCCCGTGACTCCAACATGTCTCTCAAGAGGTCGATATCCTAGGTCTCACCATATGGCCCAAAGAAGGAGGCCACCGAAACATCCTCGAGCTGGGCATGCGTCACAATTTCCACCCACGGATTTGCAACATCAAGTAACCACGGCGTCCCCCACACTCGAGTCGTTGTTCCCTTACCAATACGTCTTTCCAGCATGTCGCACAGAAGCTGTTGCCCTACCATGACACTCCTCTAATAGTAGTTGGGGTCACTGCCAATGGAGACCTTCAGAAAGGTTGTGTTGGCATAGTATTTGGCCTTGAGAACTCTTGCCACTAGAGCGTTGGGTGCGTCAAGAAGTCGCCAGCTTTGTTTGGCAACGAAAGTAATGTTGAAGTTGTGTATGTCCTTGAAACCCAACCCACCCACCTTTTTCGGAGTGCATAACTGATCCCCAAGCAAACCAATGAATGCCCTCGTTACCAGTTCCCCCACCCTCTACCAATAATTGTTTATAATCCTTTCGGGGTCCTATTATAAAATTAAATATTATTAAAGTGTATTGCTATATGCATTTAGTGCATACAGCAGACAAATATTCAAGTATTGAACCATCTGTCTGTATCTCATCTCTCGTGGAGGACCAATCCAAAGTACTGGATTCTCATTTCGTCGGAGCCTAACAACGGATCCACTGCCCTAAACACATTCACTGGACATCGTTTTATCTCATTTAGAAAAAAATAAAAATAAACACTTTACTTCTTACTTGGGTCGGGTGCTTCTTATTTGGGTCGACCACTCGGCCCGATACAAACATGCAGTATAGTATAGACTTAAAGATAATATTATAATTAGGGTTTAATCACAACACGTGGTGTTATTTAAAATTTAAAAAAAATAATAAAAAAAATCCAGCGTCTTTCAGACAAAAAATACGCTTCTCTCGCATCGAATCTCTCGACTCTGCTTTGCTTCTAATCCAAAGTCCAAACTCTCTCTCGCTGAGCTCCCTTCAGCTCTCTCCTCCCTCTCGGTAAGCTCTGTATCCTTCACTCTGAAACGGCATTTTCCCGATCCGTGTTTGCTCCTTTTCATTTTTTTCCGATTTCGGTCTGGATTTGAGTATGTACGAATGTGTTTGTGTTCGTATGTAATTTGTTTTGTCCGGTTTATAGACACTAGATTCCGATCGATCTCGCATGCTTACCTGAAATGATCTCTGTTGGCTTGGTCTGTTCCGATCTCCGATTACTCTTCTTCTTAACACCAAGGTTTTGAGAATTTGAGCTAAAACGAGAAGAAATGAGTTTTGTTAGTGAAGGTTAATCTTAAACTTGGTAGATGTGAAAATGTGTGTTTGGATTCAGCTCCATAGCTCTTAGAAGTGGGGAGAACTACTATTTCCCCTTTTCTTCTTGCTCTTAATTTGCTTGGTTCTGTCTTTTTGGCAAATGAAGTTGTTGCTGCTGCTTGGAACAATGGACATAATATGGGTAAAGCTCATAATTGCTTGTGTGTAAGTGTACACTAGTTATTATTTGTGCAGATATGGTAGATTAAGGTATCTAAGTAATGAAGAGTAACTTCATCTCTAGCCAAATTTAGTGCAAAGCCATAGCATAGATTCAGGTCAGCCACAGCATAGATTCGGGTTTTTAAGTAATTGATATTTGTTTGATATCTTGCCAAATTTAGAGTAAAGCCTTATCTTGAACGGTTGAGGATCAAACATCAGCTTTCTAACCAAGTTTAAGTCTTGCCGGCACAGTCAGCCTTGTATTAGATGCCTACTGGGAAATCGGGAAATGGAGATAGCTGGTTTGGGTGAGATCTGATAGAGGTTCACATGATGAGAGTTGGGTAGAAGAACCGAAGGAGAGTAGTCTACTTGTCTATTCTACTAAAGTTTCAGTGAAATCAATGTTAGCTATTGACTACTTCTCTATGATTACTGAACTGGGAAAAAATGGTGTGAAGCATGACATAATTGTCCATGCTTTACGAACACAACTGATTCTTACAGCCCAAATGACAGATGTGGATGACTTAATAATGGCAATGGCGAAATATCTTTCATTTTCCATCCATTGATATTTCTGGTATCGTCATACTTTTGTGCTTGAAATATGGAGATCTCTCCAGTTTCAACTGAAAAGGTGGAGACTAAAATCCCTGAAGAGAAAAGAAGCCATAGGTCCAATGAAGTAGTTTAGAATGCTTAGGAATGTTGGGTGCTAAGATCGGTGCCTGTTAGCTGTGTCCTCCATTACTCGTTATTGGTACAGAAGGAAAGATTCATTTTTTATCATCCAATAGTTGAGTTTGCTTCATCTAATTATTTCCACAAATCTTGTGCCTCCTGAGTAGTAATCAAGAACAATTGGTTGAATTCAGTGCTCAGTGTTATACGGTGAATTGTTTGTAAAAGGTTGTTAAATGTTCAAGATCGTGCTACTTTACTTGTAACATAAAAGAAGTCTGGTGTGCATTCCTAAGTGGACCAAGTTTCTATTCTAATCATATGGAGCTGGGAGCTATAATTTAAGGAGTATTTAAAATGTTTTTTTTTTCTTCTTCTGCAGGAACAGCCAAATCTTAGATGGATTTCCCATCCCATTAATGATGGTATAACCTTGTCCTTCTTTTTACTATGTGAAACTCAAACTCTTAATTTTATTTTATTTTATTTAACACCTGAAATACACTAACTTTTTGCTTTAATCAAAGGACCACAACAACTTGACTATAAAGGCATATATGGCCATCATGGCCGAGAGGGATGCTGCCATCCGAGAGCGGAACATGGCTCTTGAGGAGAGGAAGAGGGCTTTTGCTGAGAGAGACATGGCAATGCTGCAGAGGGATGCTGCAATTGCAGAGTGCAATGCAGCAATACAGGAACGCGATGAGGCCATTTCTGCCCTTCATTTGCAAGAGAGCTCGATGAATGAACACAATTTTGTTCCCGAGTCACCAGGAAATAGAATAGTAAGTGAAGCAAAGCATATTCATTACCAGCAGCAGATGCATCACATGATTGACAGTACTGCTTACGATCCAGCTGAAACTCTCGCAATTGACCCCGCAAGAGTTGCTGATCTTACTAATGAAAATGCCAAGCCTAGGAGGGTAAGACAAACAAAAGAAAGCAAACCAATGTCAGCCAAGAGGCCAAGGGCTGGTAAAAGAACAGCAGAGAGTTTGAATAGGCAGGTAATTTCTACATCTGATGATTGCAGTAATGGGAATGATTTGGACAATGATGAGGAAAGGAATAAGCAGCATGAGACATGGAAAGAGAATTTGGGTTTGAACCAAATTAATTTTGACGAGTCTGCAATGCCAGTTCCTGTTTGCTCCTGTACTGGAACACCCCAGCCATGCTACAAATGGGGAAGTGGTGGGTGGCAATCAGCTTGTTGCACGACTTCCATATCCATGTACCCACTACCACTAGTATCAAACAAGCGCTATTCCCGAGTTGGTGGCAGAAAGATGAGTGGTGGTGCCTTCAGTAAATTGCTGAATCGCCTTGCTGCTGAGGGTTATGACCTCTCTGTTCCTCTTGATCTGAAGGACCACTGGGCTAAGCATGGCACTAATCGGTACAGCACAATAAAATAGCACATGAACAACAGATTATGGCATTGTGCTGGAAGAATCCATAGATTGTCTGGTGCAAAGAAACTATACTGCTTATAGATGATGATGATGATGATGATAAGCTGCAAAGAATTTTTGAGATTTTCTGTGCTCCAAAGACAAGGTTGGCCTCTCAGAACACTTACATTTGATATTCTCCTGGTATTGTTGTATTTTATTTCGGGCATACTGAATACTGTAAAAATATAACCTTGATAGTATATCAAGTAATTAAAGAAATGAACATGGAGATATTCCTGATATGTTATAATTACAGAATATGAATATAGAGATACTCTCTATGAACTTCAAAATGTACCTTTGAAGAGTATAACTAGCTTAGTCTCTGCTGCCCTGTGCTTTTTATTATTATTATTATTTTATATTTTAATATGGAGTATTATTTTTATAGAATTTTAGCTTACGACATTTATTATAATCGTGTAGCTATAAACTAAAATAAATAATTGACATTTAGTAATATAGCTGTTAGTGTAGGCATAAAACTTAGAAGGTTTCCTGTATTAAAATCAAATATCATATCTATGTCTTTCTTAATGTGTTTGATAAATGATAAACAAACTATTACTTCACCATGTCACTGAAGCATATGGCTCATCCATCAACCTGTTCTCATGATAATGTGAGAACCGCTATCAGTATCCACAATGTCACTTATCTCACCAACCTTTAGCGCATATGTTGCAGCTTCAAAAGGTTTCTGCATCTGACCCCTCCCAAATTTACCTGCATAGAAATAGTGAAGAATGTTATGCGTGAATCATTAATGATGAAGACCACTTGGTCTCTACAATTCTGCAAATTATGAATGTCATACAAATATATATATGTATGCAAACTAAATCGTCTGAGGACCTAATGGAAGGCATTTGACTTAAGAAATTCGATTATACTTACTGCGTGATCGGTATATAATACTGAAAGCAAAAAAGGATTTAAGTGGTAACAACATTCAGCATCCAAAGATGAAAAATACATTGATACAAACACAGACATATGCACACATGACATGTGTTAAGTTGCCAACTCAGAAAATATATGAATTGAATGTTCTTTGTTTTTTTCCTAGAGGACATTTAACTAGATGAGTTTAGTCTTGCTATAAAATCCCTCTAGATTGTGTATTATGCTCCATACCTTACTTTTCACTGTCATGCACAGGGCTGAAATCAGCATCTTAGATGCGAAATATAGTTCAGCATCAAATAAACCAAATGAGCATTCAAGATTCACCTTTACTTTTCGAAGTATTGTTCTTGAAAAAAAAAACAGTAAATAAAGGAGCCTGCTCAATAGCTTATCTTCTAAAATTAAGACAGGAGTCTTTAAAAACATTGGCAACAATTCTTTTATACAATAAGAACATTGCATAATAGCTTCATTGTTATTAAGTCACAAGATAACTGCACCCTATACAATAGTATTCTTTCCTTTGGTTACACCAAATACTGATTCAACAATGCCAATAAGAATGACTAAGTTGGGGTGAGCCACTGTAATGCTCCAGAGTGAATTATCTAGGTGCTGAAGTGGAGAGTGTGTGAATTAAGCGGGAAGAATTTGAAGAAGGAAAGAGCCACTGAGAGAAATTGCTAGCAATGACTAATGCATTTGTTGATTGTCCTTTGATTTTATTTTGGCAGTTTCTGAAAGGCAAATATCCCATTTTAGCAATGTTTAGAACATCTGAACATGGATTCTCCAAAAAAAAAAAAAAGAACATCTGAACATGGCATAACATCTTTCAACACAATAGTAGTATAGGCAACAAGCAGTATAGGCAAAAAGCAATTCCAGGAAGGTTTCAGCATTTTATTACCTAAGAGATGTACAAAAAGCAACAGCATAAATCAAGTTCGACAATCATAAATTTGTCTGCAGTTTCCAGAAGATTATACACGCAATCCAGCTTACAGCTCCTAATTTCGCTAATTTATTCGCTCTTCTGAGTATAAACACACACATAATGCGCGAATGAAAAGACAGAGCATGTGCATAAAAAGAAGCGAAATTCATGCAGATATTGAAAGCGATTGGAGTAAGTTAGTGAAGGTTACAGACCGAGATCGCCGCCGCGCTTGGCGGAACTGCAATCGGAGTAGCGGGAGGCTATGTCCTTGAAGTCGGCCTTGCCGGAGACGAGGTCTTCGCGAAGGGATTTGAGCTGAGCAACGGCGTCTTCTCTGGTCCTTTTGCAGATGGCGTGTCCTTCCGGATCTTTCCACGACGCCTTGCGACGCGAGCCCTGATGCTTTATCAGTACGTGCGAAGCCCTAACCTTGTCGCCGGAACCGGAGGACGACGACATCTCGGTCTTCCTCTTGACCTTCTCCGCTCGATCCGTAGACGTCACCGAATCATTCTTCCTCTTCCGATCTGAATCCGTTTTCATAGATGGTGTTGAGTTTTTGAGCGTTCACTTCGTCTGAGGCAGTCTTCTTTTTTCCCTCCACAAAATGACGCTGTTAGTTGAGTTCCTTTACCTTCAGCACTACGGAATTACGGATTACTGGAAACAATTCTTTTCTTTTGCTTCCCTTATTCATTCTCAAGCACTACTATTAATAATCATTTCCATTCCACCCTAGTATCAAATATATTAAATACTTTCATCAAAACCCATTACAATTATCAAGTATTTGATATCCATTCCGATTCCGATTCCGATTCCGATTCCGATTCTTATATGCGAACCAAACACACCCTTATTTTCACCTAGAAATTAGGAATTAAGTCAATAGAATATGATTTTCTTCTTTTTCTAAATATTGCCTACTAAATTATTGAGTTAAGTATATGTAGAATATGATTCTTCTCCCAAATGTAAAATATGATTCTTGATTTTATAATTGATAGAGAATATTCTTCAAGTACATCTCTTTCTACACACCGTACATATGCTCGATATACGGTCAGGTCACAGATAGAAACTAGGACCGACCTTTCCCTGACCTTAGGCATGATATTCCCGACCTAAGCGCTATAACCAATCTAGCTAAAGATTGCAGTAACGTTCCGTTACTTAGGGACCGACCCCGATCAGTTCAGATCGGAACAACCATCTCGAACAAGGCTACTTGAGAATTTGGACTTTGATTTCATGTTTTAACCCAGTTTCATCTTAGTGAACGATTAGAAATCTAAGCGCATATGGCTACCTAGGCGTTGTTCCCGAGCCCACCAGCTACATGTGCGACATTTGGCAATCATGCTGAGAGCTCGGCATGTGTCTCCTTCCCACCGCTATAAATACCATTTAATGCTAATTTGGGGGGGGGGGGGGGGGGGGGGGGGTGTTACTTTTGGCCTCTTTCACCTACTACATTATAGCTCGTAACTCTCTGATCTTGTGCTATTAACCGAGCTAGGGATTAAAACCAACAAGCTGACTAATTTAGGATCTCCTTACAATCCGACCCTAATATTCATACGTATTAGTGAATACCTCTGTATTTGCCACATCAATAATTTATCAAGTCATTTGGTATTATGCATTGGAATGGCTCAAACCAATAAGGTTAATAAACAGCTCTTACGGGAAGTCAAACTTAAAACATTATGGTTTTAAATTATCAATTTGGTGTTTTCAATTTTTTTTTTTATCAATTTGGTTATAATTGTCCGATTTTTTTATATAATAAATGACATTTAATTATCTATTACTTTTTAAATCATACTCCTTACCACAAAATGTGAAATTTCCTTGGCCCAAGGTTCTCACACCCCGGACGACAAGATCTAAAGTAAATCACATTGACTCAACTGCTCGTTAGGTGAAATTACCAAGTGCCCACAAAACCTTACATTAGGTTAAACTCTCATATTGTGATTGTAAAGGATTGATCTAGTGATCTTATATCATTGTCTACAATTTACTACTCATTATAAACCAATTGAACTACATGTATGGGCTAGTAAATCATACTCATATTTGGCTATTGTGATATTTATTACACACGGGACGGACTCATAAAATCTAATGAGTATAGGTGAAGTTTAAATGACATTAGAAATGTCCATGACAAAATATAAAAAAAACACTCATAATAATGTTCAAATGCAAAATACATTATAAATTATAACATAATGTTTTTGATAGACTAAATGATAGTTAGGAGCGAAAAACATTTTAAAATGCTATAAAAATATTTATAACAAAATATGAAACATAATCAATTAGATAAAACAATTTGAATAGAAAAGACACTATATTCATAAATATTTTTTAATTTTAATTTCTTTTAATTAGATAAACTTTAAATTTTTCTAAATTAATTTGAACACAATGAAGTTTAATATAAATTTATATACTACATTAATTAAATGATATGATTCATCAAAAGTAGAGTAAAAAATATTTAATTTATCTTGTGAAGAAATGAAAGAAGTAAAGTAAAAAGGAAAAGCTAAGGGCAAGTGCTACTAGCAGGTAAGATTCAAACCTATGACATAGGTTATTTAACATTAAGTTTAGAATTTCAACCAACTAAACTACTCAAATATTTGATAATTTATACATAAATATAGATTAATATATATAAGTTAATGTTATATGTGCATATATATACATATTATATATACATATATATATAAGGGGGTGGGATAGATGAAGGGGGCAGCTGTTCCCACTCGGGTCCGCCCTTGCTTTCATGATGTATAGTTTATTAGGGGTTATTATGTTAATTTTCAGACTCGAGAGATTTAAACATAATTAAACCCAAAACAAGGGGTGTTGTGTAATTTTCAATAATTCATGTGCAAAATTATAAATTAAGAAAATAGAAAACAGTTCGATAAATTTATCCATCGGTAAAACGGCGCAAATTGACGTCGTCCCTGACTTGCTCGCTCACAGGCTTACAGCACTAGGTTTTTCTCTCGGAGTAAAAGTCCCGGCGAAAGAGCAGTGACGATGAGTAGGAGCTTGGGGATCCCGGTGAAGCTTCTCCACGAGGCGACGGGGCACATTGTGACGGTGGAGATGAAGAGCGGCGAGCTCTACAGAGGAAGCATGGTGGAGTGCGAGGACAACTGGAATTGCCAGCTCGAGAGCATCACTTACACAGCTAAAGTACACTTCCATCTTATCTGCTTTTAATCTTTCGATATTTATTCTGTTATTGCCTTTCAATGAGTGCTTCTTGTTTGATGGAGTATTCTTAAACCCTAAACCCTACATAATTTTTTATTTTATTTTTTGTTTGTAATTTGTGAGCTTCGAATTCTGCATCATTTCCGATATCAGCTTAATATGTTCTGTTTGGAATGCGGATGTTAGAAACTAAATTACTATACATTATCTGTAATTTTGATTTTTGAATAAAAGTTTACAAGTCAGATATAAGAAGCTTTAAGGGATAAAGTCTAACTGTAATTGCTCCATATGAGTGTCGGGACTAAATTTTAATATCATGCAGAATACTAGTGGAATTGCTCAACCACAAACAACCTTAGGGTGCTACAAGTTTCAACCTTGTTAGAGATTGAAAAATAAATGAATTCAGTTACTAACAAAGAAGCAGAGCTTAGGGATAACAAATTCTCTTATCAAAAGTTTAGGGAAAACATTATAATTCCACAGTTTTTAATCCAGGGGTGTCTGGCACAAGGATTTTAGTTGGAAAAGATTTTTAATGTTATGAGGAAATATCTGTGAAGTTTCTAGTGTATGTCTCAGATCATTGTTTGTGTGGACAATCTACATTCTTAGGGTTTTAAAACCGTTGCTGATGGGATAGAAAAAATGTAATTCATCAAGTGCTTGTTTTGTTGATTGTAATTTATAGTTTTATAACTTGGTTTTGGATGCAAACCCCTAGGATAGTTATCAATGACCTAGCACCTTTTTTAGGAACAACCTTGTCTCCCACAAATCAAAGGAGAAGAACAATATACCAAGCAATCAACAATGGAGTTTGCATGAGATAGGCAAGAAGAGATGGGTGTTTTAAGGCAAATTAAAAAGAAACAAAATCTTTATTCATCATTCAATAAGCCAAAAGATCCAAAAACAATACAAATTTAGGGTATTTATAGGCATACTTACCCTAGTTAGGAATAAATAAATAAGCTAATTACTAACAAAGCAACTTAAACACTCACTGTGCATGAGCAGAAACTTTACACTTGGTTTTGACCATGATAACTTGTGAATCTTTTCAAACTCAAAACATGAAAGTCATAGAGGATTCTCCAAGCTTTTCTATAGAGTTTTGAATCACCTCAATCCGACTTCACATGAGAGAGATATGACCAAAATATTGACACGTGCAAATTTTCTTTCAAATTTGGCAAGTAGCAGGTCTAAACTCTTCCATTTTAGCAAGTGTTGTCTTTTAGAGATTTTGCACCTCTAACCATGGTTGGACAGCATCTCCTTCTATTAAATTCTCTTCCTTCAAGCCCAATTGCACATTTGCACATAATTAAATTATACAACTGGTTCTTCATTGGGCTTACTAGACTTGTTTTCCACTTGGGCCAAGTCTTTGGGCTCTTCTTTAATAATTTTTTATCCAAGAGAATCCATCTTGAATATAAAAGAACTTGATCCAACTTGGGCTACTTGCCCCTCATCAGTAAACTGGTCTGTTATGTAGCCTGAGTGGATTAATCCCTTAAGTTTCGTTCACATAGTGAACTTTCATGACTTGCAAAGATGTTTGATATGTAGTATCTATCTAAATGTAAAGTAATCCTTGGATTCAAAATTGCAGGATGGAAGAGTTTCACAACTTGAGCATGTTTTTATTCGAGGCAGCAAAGTCAGGTGATAATCATTATTTTCCAGACTTGTTTAATTGCGCTTAAGAGAATTTATTCTTAATGGTATTGATGTTTACCAGGTTCATGATAATTCCTGATATGCTTAAGAATGCTCCTATGTTCAAGCGTCTAGAAGCTAAAATCAAGGTACTTTCATCATCAACCTTGTTTACTTGCCTTTTTTTTTACCGGGTTGCTAATGTTTGGTTTTCCTCTTTTGCAGGGCAAAGGTACATCACTTGGAGTTGGACGGGGACGTGCTATTGCTATGCGGGCCAAAGTGAGTGATGAATTTTTTTAGTCTTTTCTAATTAGTACTATGACTGTGTTGTTTTCATGGGTAACTATGTGATTATATGAAACAATCCCTTTAGTGTGAAACTAGATAAAATAGTCACATCGGATACTAGCAGTTTCTAATGACCCTTTATGGCCTGATTGGCTGGTGCTAGTTATAATGAGTTGACTCTAAAACTGTTTGTTAGCATGAAGCTGAAATAATGTAACTTAAAAAATTAGAGGTGGTATATTCTTGCTAAAATAATTGTTGCATTTAGATCTCTTTTCATCAGACCTTTCTTCTCTACCCAATGTGGCTTACAATTTTGCTTCTTGTTTCCAGGCACAGGCCGCTGGTCGTGGTGCTGCACCTGGCAGAGGTGTTGTGCCACCTGTAAGGAGGTGACCGCACTAAAGTGGATTTGATTT